GATGTGTTGGATGGAAGATGCAGCTGCTATGCTTACTCAACATAATAATAATACAACCAATTTAAGTAATGTTGAACTTATTTTTTAACTAATTAGACCTATAAAACATATTTTTAATTATTAACTACCTATATATTTTATATAATATTAGCATTTTATATTTTATATCTGTATTTATGTTAGTGTCCCCAATTAGTTATCTTTAGCCAAATACTCCGACACTCAAATAAAGTTTATGTATGTAGGCATGTATGTATGTATGTGCACAACCAACGTGATTTTAGTGCGGAATAAAGAAGCCGACAAACAGTCAAACGAAGTGTACGAGCAACGTCTTGCAACATTTTCTGAGGAAGGGGATCTCATCCTTGACATTGGCAGTGGAAATGGTAAAGAAGGTTTTTGTTTTATTGTGTGGCAACCACTATACCCCCTGAAAACTGTGTATTGACTGCCAATTCTTCGATTTGGCATTAAGCACAGGCAAATAGTCACAAGAATGTCCTTGAAATTGTACTATTTTGAAAGGAGGCAAAGTATTGGTCGCAAGCATGTGTTATGGAACCCAACAACAACCATGAATTCTTGCATNTTGATTTCCAAATGTGACATTTATTGCAGTAACAAAAAAATAGCTTCATTTTCATTGTTGCTAAACAAAATTTCACATTCCATTATCTGAGTCATTCAGTTTTATTTTTGGCTCATTTATTTTCATATGTTCAATTATCTTGATTCTCAATTATCTGGACTATTCAGCCGAGTCCCCACAAGTCCATATAATCTATGTTCGACTGTATATTAAAAAATGAGTTTACATTGTATTGATGCATAAATTTGTATTTCAGACCTTGTCATGACTGAGGTTGTCAGCTCATTTGTTGCGGGGCACTCAGGGCAGTGGCGAGAAAAATGGTGGACAGACATGTGTCCAAGTGCACAACCAACGTGATTTTAGTGCAGAATAAAGAAGCCGACAAACAGCCAAAGGAAGTGTATGACCAACTTCTTGCACCATTTTCTGAGGAAGGGGATCTCATCTTTGACATTGGCAGTGGAAATGGTAAAGAAGGTTTTTGTTTCATTGTGTGGTAACTACTATACACCCCGAAAACTGTTTACTGACTGCCAATTCTTCGATTTGGCATAAAGCACAGGCAAATACAGAATCTTGTCTTGCAAGAAGGTGGTAACTTACTTTTGAGCGGTACTGTAAGTCACAAGAATGTCCTTGAAATTGTACTATTTTGAAAGGAGGCAAAGTATTGGTCGCAAGCATGTGTTATGGAACCCAACAACAACCATGAATTCTTGCATTACTTGATATTTAACTTAAAAGGTAGTAAAATCATTGTTGCTCATTATCTCAATTTCAGGAAATGGATTTTTGGCTGGATTAAGCATGAAAAGGCCATCAGGTTACATTGACCAGTGGACAGATGAAAATGCTCAGTGGCATCTCCTAGAGGATA